CAGCATGCAGCATTCATACCATGCAGCATTCATACCATGCAGCATTCATTCCATGCAACAGTCATACCACGCAGTATTTCTAACATGCAGCATTTCCACGCAGTTTGGCTGCCATGGTGTCAGGAGGGGAGGAAAGGGGATGCGCCCAGCCTGGCCCAGCTCTGTACATGGGCAGCAGCAATGCTTGGCTGAGCTTTGCAATGAACCCATGCCACCAGCAGCCCAATGTCCCCAGGGTCCAGGGACTTGGTGACAGTTGACACAGGTGTGGAAGCAGGGCCAGGAGCAGCTCGGGGGGGTTAATGCCATTGTAAGCCAAGGCAGGGCCCTCCAACAGAAGGGCTTGTGGCCAGCTGGGGACCCCGTCTGCTACACTGCCTGCGCCAGGCCACAAAGGAGGATCCCAGTGGCAGCTGGCCCCAGTAGAGGTGACAGAGCCACGTGGCAGGGCAAAGCCTGAGGGTGGCAGAGTCCTTTGTCGGGGTCACTGTGGCTGGTGGGGAGCAGCTGGGATGGGGCCATGGGGCCAGAGGGCAGCAGGCGTCTGGGGGGCACAGCAATGGCTGTGAGACCCACTGAGTGCCGTGCTGTTGCTTGTGCAGATAATGAATCATTCATTCATTCATTTTATCTTCCCCCCATCTTTGTTTTTCCCAGGAAAAAAAAAAACAAAACCAAAAACAAACAAACAAAACCAACCCAAAAAACAGCCCCAGCCTAGTGCATGCATCCTCCTGCTCTTCATGGCAACCAAATAAGGATGGAGATGAGATGGGATGGAGATAGGATGGGGTGGAAATGGGGATAAGAAGGGATGGAATGGACCCACCCTGCTGCTGTAACCCAGACAGACCCCCAGCAGTAGCTCAGCCCTGGGGTGATGCCAGCAGCCCCACATCCGGCCCAGCCTCCCCCTCACCAGCGGTGCAGGGCTAATTTCAATTATCTTCTCCAGGCCATGTGAATTCTATTAATATCAAAGTAATGAGGTAATTACTGTGATTTGGAGGAACGGCTGGGGAATTGCTTTGGAGAGGAATTTGCCAGCCAAGAGGGTAAATTAAAACCGCTGTTTGGAAGGGAACAAAAGGCTGCACAGGAGGCAAGCAGGGAGCCGTGGGAGACAGCCCAGGCCAGGGGAAACATCCAGGTGGGGAACATCCAGGTGGGGGACACGTGTGTTGCTGTCCCCTCCCGTACTGTGGGGCCACTGCTGTGATGTTTGCTTTGGGGAGCGATGCTGAGATGTGCAGAGGACAAAAGGATGGGGATGGGGCTGATCCTGCTCTGTGAGGCTCTCATCCAGGATCCTGGACACTGCGTTGACTGTCCCCTCGGCGCTGCTGTCACACAAGGGCTGTATTCCCAACACACGCGGGTGCCAGGGGTCATGCAAGGGATCCGAAACGCCACTGCCTGCTATCAGCACGGCCTGGGGCTGGCGGTGCTGCGGCTGCGGGCGAGGGAGCACTGCGGGACCCCAGCAGCAGGCGACGGTCAGGGGGCTGTGAGAAGACCTCAGAGCACGAACGCTTGGTGTCCGCGCACACCGCGGGTTATGGCTTAGAGTAATTGAGGAGCTGGGGGGGGGGGTCCCACCTGGAAGGTCTCACCCACCCGTCCCTGGGGGGGTCCCACCCGGCTGTCCCCATCTCCCGGGGTTCCCCACGCGGCCGCTCCCGGGCGCTGCCGGCGGCTCTCTGCTGGCATCTGCTGCCGGCACACGGCAACGCAGCGGCTGCGGCGTGGGGACACGGCTCACGAGTGGCAGGAAAGGGCGGGGGGGCGGGAACATGGGGACATAGGGACACGGGGACACGTGGACATGGAGACGCAGGACACAGCTCTGGGCCAGTCAGGGGTGGGAGCATCCCTCGGGGCTCCTTTTCCTTGGATATTGGGGCCTTTTTGCTTTATGAACTTTATGAACATCACGTCCAGCCATTGCCTAGCACTACAGTGCACTGCTCAGCCGTGTCCTCGTGCCTCAAATACCCGCAGCGTGGGGATTCACCACTCCCTGGCAGCCCGTTCCCATGTCCCACCATCTCTCCACGATACCCCACTGGAACCCCCTTGGCACAGCTGGAGGCCATCTCCTCACGTCCATCCCTTTGTCACCTGAGAAAAGACACGACACCTCCTCTCTGCAGCCTCCTGTAGGGTGATGGGTTCTGCCCTCAGCCTCCTCTTCTTCCCATTTCCCTCAGCCCCTCCTCAAGTCCTGCTCTCAGTTGCCTCACCACCTTGTTGCACTCCTCTGCACGCCCACAAGCAACAAAATGTCCTCCTGCCCCTCTGGGCTGGGGACAGCTCAGGCACAGCACTGCAGCCATCCTGCTCTCGTTGGCTGCTCTCCTCCACCAGGATCTCCTCCCGCTCAGGACAACCTTGGCTTTGCCACGTTCACAGCTCATTGGAGACAAGAGGTGACAGTGGCAAGCAGTGACATTTACGGGAGCTCCATTCACCGACTTCAAATAGAAGCTGACGGGAGCCACGAGTGTGGGGACGTTGCCAGCGCCCTGTGTGGGGACAGCTGCCACGTGCCCCTTGTTGTGGCACGAGCCCAGGACTAAGGCAGTACTGGGGCTGTGCTCCGTGCAGAGACAGCACCTGCCCACCTCACTCCTTGCCTCAGTTTCCCCACAAGCACCACGCAGGAGAGGGGCTGCATGGGGACCCTGTGCCGGGCAGGCATGGCATCTTCCTTTGCAGGTTGCACATCATTGTTGGCAGAGCTGTGCCCACCCTGCTGCATCCCCCAGCTCCTGCTTTCCCCCCACTTATCTCAGTACCCAGGTTCTTCTTTTTCCTATTTCTTCAACAGCACTCATCCAGCCTTGATAACCCATCTGCCGTGCAGCAGCAAAGTGTTTTCACAGCACAGAGCTCAGCTGGTGTGGCTGTCTTATGGGGATTCAGAGAGCAGAACCCAGACTGAGAAGAGAGAAACTTGGCCAGGAATGACTGTGTCCCAAAGCAAAGCATCCCAAAATCAACTGGAGGAGTGAGAGACTGCACGGTTTGGGTAGACAACTCCATTTCACTGCATTTCCTGTATACCAGAGGATGAATCACTCGGTTAAGTACATAGTGCACATCTGAACCTTTTTTATTTCCCTGCCCATCCTCTCCAGTGCATTTGCAGCCACTGATTTTGATGGATCCATTTCAGCAAGGCAGGTTGTGCCACCCAGGACTCACCGCTGCCCTGTGCACCCCATGCCCTGCCAGCACCCGAGGTGCTGCTGTCAGGCTTGGGGATGCCACTTCAGACCCAAACACGAGCTTTTATTCTGTTTCAGAAGTGATTCATTTAATTCACCCAGCTAACAGCACTCTATAAATAGACGGGTGGGCTTTGACACAGCTCCTGTGTGTGCCAAGAGCTGAGGCTAATAATAGCAGCTCACCCACCACGTCCGGGAGCGGGGATGTTCTGCAGGGAGAGGATAGGATGGGCTCAGCCGTGTGATAAAATCACTGTGAAAATGTCACCATCCCACGGGCACTGCAGCACCTCTGTGCCATGATGTGGGGTTGCACACCTGGCCCCGTTGCCCAGCAGCATGGTGTGGCACAAGGTTTCCCCCTGCATGGCATTGCTCTGCTTCCCACTGCTGCTTTGTGTCTGTGCCTGAGTGGTGCATCTGTGCTGCCAGGGCTGGGGAATCAAACATATCCCTGGATGGTGCCATTCTGTGGCACTGAGAGCAGTGTCTCTGCTTTCCACCATGACTTACAAGGAGAATACGGCCTTAACCAATCATCTGTGCTGGAAATAACATTGGAAAGAAAAAATTATGTGTTTGCATAGACCCATGCTGATTGCAGCTGGGACGGTGAACACAGTGAGTGGCACAGGGCAAAGTGACGCCAACTGGCAGCAAGAGGACAGAACCCCCTCTGCCATGGGGCACAGCAGCTCAGGGCCTGTGGGACACAGAGGATGGGGGGGGTGACAGGGGTAGAAGCAGCACTCAGACAAATCCGAAAAGTCACTCCAACCAAACTGCAGAATTTTGATTGAAGAGAAAACCGGAATATTTGAGCTGTGTTTTGCAAGGGAAAAACCTTCATGGTTTCCTCTGCCACAATCTCGAGAAATTCCACAGCTGCCTCTGCTTGTGGGGAGCGCTGCTGCCTCTGTGTGTGGGTGGGGAGGGCTGCAGCCCCCTCCCCCGTACCCTCCACCTTGTGGCGAATGTGGCCTTGTGGGCGAATGGGATTCAATTCCTTTAAGGCTGCTTCTGCAGAGCCTGGAGCTTGGGGACCTGCAGCCCCACCCCAGGACTCTGGAGCTGCCCGAAGGGGCACAGGGATGTACCCAGAGGTATTTTTTATCCCTAATTGCTGCCACTCGGTTGCAGGAGGAAATGCAGATCTGCCAAAGGAAACAAACACCGTTCCTGTTTTCCAGAAGCAGAACGGGGTAAGGAAAGAGAAAGGCAAGACTGTTTTGAATGTCTCCAAAAATCCTCCCTACTGCTGTCTGCGCCCATCTTTGGGACATCGACGACGTGGGACGTCTGCGGGAGAGCTCCTGGGGCCGCCCCCTGCCGCCCTTAAAAGCTCCCATCGCTTTTCATCATCGCAATTTTCCGTAAAAAGTCCGGAGTCCGCTTCGAGTGACTTTTGTGTTCGCCTGACAGCGGTGCTCGCTTCCACGAAAGCAGTTACCCGGGTACCCCGCGGCACGCCCAAAGCTCTCGCGGCACCCGGTTCTCGGCACTGAGACCGCTGCGCCCCGACGAGCCCCGCGGGGTCCCCCCGTCACACGGCCGCACCGCGGTGCCCAGAGCCGGGCGGGTTTGAGTGCGGGTGGGCAGACCTCGCCGCGCCCCTCCCGGCTCCTTCCGTCCCTTCCACGGGCGCGGAGCCCCGCAGCGCGGCGCTGCTTCGACGGGGCGGGCGTGGGCCGGGCCGGGGGCGGTGCGCGGGGCGCGGAGCTCCGCCGGGCGGGCGCGGGGCAGCGCGGAGCGGAGGTGCCGGAGCGGCGGGGCCGGGCTCGGCATGCGCGGAAGATGGCGGCGGGCAGGCGCGGGGCGCGCAGCGGGCTGCTGGAGCTGCGCGGACCCGGAGGGCAGTGGCTCCGCGTCCTCCTCACCCTGAGCGATGACACGCTGAGCGTCAACCCCGCCGACGGTCCCGGGCACGGGGAGCCGCCGGCGGCGCAGCTGAACGGAGGGGAGCACAGCTCCGGCGTGCCCGAGGCGCTCGCCAACATCAGGCGTACGGTGCGCGTCGTCAAACAGGACGTGGGGGGGCTCGGCATCAGCATCAAAGGTGAGGGGGGGGCATCGGGAGGGGGCGGCAGGTGGGACCCACGCTGCCTTTCTGCGACCGGGGCGCTCCGCCCGCGTGTCCTTGCGTCCTGCGTGACCTCGGTGCGATGCCCCCTCCGGGCCGCCCCAAACGCAGCGCTCTGCCCCCGTCGGGCGTCCCCGGCCGCCCTCACCCCTCTCCTGGGGACTTTGCGGGAACTTCGGGCCGGGAACTTTTACGAGGTGGGGGCGGGGGGCTGCCGTTTTTCTGACGTGGCCGCATCGGGCTCAGCCTTCACTGCGCTCCTTGCCGGACGCCGCGGGGTAGGGCGGTCTGTGGGGTGCGGGTCTCCGTGAGGGGTCCGCGGTGGACCTCACTGCTGGTGGGGTTCTGGGTGCTGGAGCTCGGCAGCGCTTTTGGGAAGTGCAACTCCCTCTTGTAACCAACCCTGAGCTGCGAAGCTCTGCCGGCTCCGCGGCTCTCCCAGGAAAGGAGAAACGTTACTTGGTTCAGCTAAACTTTATTTTTGCAGTGACGTAGGTGGAAACCAAGGAGCCGCGATCCAAACGGGGAGCTGCGGGCGTGCGGGCAGCACTGGGCTGCCTTGTGCCTGCTGCTTTGCAGGGGGACGAGCATTTCCCTTTAAACACAGCCCTCAGCTCGTAGCCAAACCCTGCTGTCCTTGCGGGGTTTGGAGGGAACGGTACCCCTTTAACAGCCAGCTCCTGACCATTGCTTGTGGGACAGAACCTAAAGCAGATCCTTCTGGTTGGGGTATTACAGCTGCATCCTAACCCCAGGCACTGCTTTGCTCGGGGTTTCTGGTGCTTCAGCCAGCCCTGCAGGATTTGGGTTAGGATTATTAGGGTTAGGGTTAGCATCCTTCTCCTGCAGGGTCGGTGTACCGCATGGTGCTCCGGGCAGCGGTTCCCTCTCCATGCACACAGCCCAGTATGGGTGGCTGCGAGGCGCTGCTTCCAGTCCGGGCTCGGCAGCCAGCAGCAGCCCCCGCGGGGGCCTCTGACAGCTGATAGCCGGAGGAGCCCTCAGCTCCCGGAGAGGCTCTGCAGAAATCTGAGCGGAGCAATGCCTGCGGCTCAGCGGGCGCAGCACCGGGCGGTGTCACGCTGCCGGTCCCTGCCCGTGGGTGGGGGATGGGGGGGAGTGAGGGGGAGCCCGGCACACGCTGTCCCAGCGCTGAGTGCGGGCAGCGCCAGGCGGAGCTGCTGGCATCTCCTACGGGTTCAAAAGTTAACGTGCAAATTGATCTCTTCGAGCTGCCTGGAGGCCTTGAGAGGTGTCTTGGTGGGCTGAAGAGTGGGGAGCAGCCTGAATGGAGCCAGAGGGGAGTGGGGAGCCGGTAGCCCTGTGGCTGGGCAGCTGCTCTGTGGCTCTTTTGCCTCTCCAGCTCTCGGCTGCTGACCCACTGAGACCCCAGGGTCCTGAGAGTGGGGAGGGCTGCTCAGCAAACACGATTAATAATGCAAATAGTGACACGGTTTCTTGTCAGAAGTGATGGAGAGGATGTCAGGATGTGTGTTTGCTCTGCGAGGAAATCTGCAGCCACTCATATGGCTTTTTGAAGCGCTTGTGTGCATCTGCCATAAAGCCCTGAGGTATTTGGGCACTGCGTGTGCTTGTTATGGGGCTGGGGGCTGCACTCAGCCCCGAGCAGCCTGTGTGCCCTCATTGCTCCGTGTCCCCTAACTGCTTGGTGCCCCTTCTGCCTGCAGGTGGCCGGGAGAACAAGATGCCCATCCTCATCTCCAAGATCTTCAAGGGACTGGCAGCAGATCAGACCGAGGCGCTGTATGTGGGAGATGCCATCCTGTCTGTGAATGGCACCGACCTGTCTGAGGCCACGCACGACGAGGCGGTGCAGGCGCTGAAGAAGACGGGCAAAGAGGTGGTGCTGGAAGGTAGGGGGCAGCGGGGTGCCGTGTTTATGTACACCCTATGGGAACCCTCACATCCTCTGCTCCCGGGCTCTGCTTTTCTCAGAACTTCCATTTAAATCCTCCTCCTTAGCTGGAGCTCTCCTGCGCCTTCCCCCAATTGTGTCATCTCCAGATTTCTGGTTTTCGCTGCGCTCAGCCCTTTTCTGCTCTGGGTTCCTCCTCTCCTGGGAGCCACAGAACCACGCTGCAGCCTGAGGAATGTGCTGCTCTGCACAGCTGCCGGGTGCAGATAGGGGCTGATTTATTTTTTTTCTGACCAAAGAGAAATACAAGAGCCTCTTTCTTTGGGAGTCTGCAAAATTCCTCCCTGCGGCCGCTGCACTCAGACCACCCTCTCTCTGTTATTTTCTTTTCATCCTTTACTTTGGCACGGGCTTCCTTTCTGCTGGAGGTGCTGCAGGAGGTGGTGCTGAGCTGCCCTTCCTTAAGAGAACCACTTCTCCCTCTGACCTTCCTCCTCCTCCTCCTCTGCAGGGAGCTGGATGGGCCCTTTAGGAGGCACCTACATGTGGTTCTGCAGGAGGTGGGCTGCTGCAGGAGTGGAGCTGGGCTTCAGAGGAGAGCCAGGCTGACTCCCACTGTCATGTTCTGGGTTGTGCTGTAGCAATGTAATCACCTTCCTGCAGTCTTATTCCCTGAACAGGGAATGTTCAGGTTGGATATTAGAAAAAATTTCTTCTCCAGAAGAGTGGTGAGGCATTGGAACAAGCTGCCCGGGGTGGAGGTAGAGTAACCATTACTGAGGTGTTTAAGAGCTGTGGAGATGTGGCACTGAGGGATGTTGTCACTGGGCATGGTGGGATAGGTTGGGGTTGGAGTGGATGATCTTACAGGTCTTTTCTAACCTTTGTGCTTCAATGATACGTGCATGGCATCTCCATCTCATCGCCACCTCCACTTCCCATGAGGCAGAGCCTGGGGACATGGCACTGCTTTGCACTGAGCTGGGGACAGCCCTGCTCCAGTCATGTCCTTGGGCTTGCTCCAAGGCTCAGTGACAAGTGACATGATGACTTTAGCATCCAGCAGGTGCCCTCTACTCCTGACCACGCTCCCTCCCAGAGCCCCACGCCTGGACTCCATGCAGGGCTGCCCGTCCCCTGCTGACCTCTGTCCCTGCAGCTCTGGGTCAGCCCTGTGCTGTTCTGTGTGCCTCAGCCTGGCACAGAGCTTGGTTATGTTGTGCTGGCATTGCTGGCAGGGAATGAGGGCAAACCGCAGCCCCTGGGCGCTCCCTGGTTAACTCTGACATCCGTTCTCTTTACCATAAATATCACCATGCAGTCATTTAGCACAGCCAGCATATGTTCACCACCTTTCTCCTCCCCAGCAAAGCTTGTGTTTGGAACTGGAGCTCTTTTAGAGTGGCTCACGAGCGCTGTGCCAGACAGAAACAGAGCCCTGACCGTGCTGTCGCTGAGAAACCATCAGTTTGTACGCTCCTGGCTGGTGGGGGCAGTGAACTGGGGTTCTTCCCCCCATGCTGAGCCCCAGAGCCAAAGCCTGGCCCTGCAATGCTAGCATTCCTGGGTGAAGTGACATGCAGAGGCTCCTGGTGTGCCCTGCCAGCACTGCTCTGTGCCAAGCTGCTCACTGCTATCTGCAGGAGTGTGCCTGTATTTATATTACACTGTTATATGGGGAGAGGCACTCTGCCTGACCTTATTTTTCCCCTACTTTTTTTTTTTTTTTTTTAAATTTATTTGTGCATCGCTTTGTATCCAGAGTTACAAAGCACTGCTGGGTTCAGCAGACACTGGAGAAAGTAGCACAGGGCTGAAGGGACAGGAGGTCTCAGTTGCTGGTTTTGGGGCTGGGATTTGCATGCTGGTGCAAAGAGGCTCAGCAGTTGGTGTTCCTGTGGCACTGGAAGTGTGGGACTGCCCTCCTGTCTGTGAGCCTGTGGAGCTGTGCAGGGTGAGTCCTGAGCTGTGATCCGAGCATTGGGACGTACCATGGAGATGCTGTGGTCAGACCACAGTGGGACCACCAGATCTGCTAAGTGCACCATGCCCTCCAGAAAGAGGATCAGAGCCTCCTTTCTTGGCAAACTCTGGGCAGAAAACTTGCAGAAAGTGCAAGTTTAGTGACCCAGCTGTGCTGCCTTAGAGATGCTTTGAGATCTCAAGATCCCACCTGGGATTTTTGGGGTGCACCAGGACGTCCTGCACAATGAATGCCGGAGCTGGTGGCCATGTGCCCATGTTTCATGCAGCACTGGCTCACAGAATCACAGAATGGCTCGGGTTGGAAGGGACCTCAAGGATCACAAATCTCCAACCCTCCTGCCACAGGCAGGGCCACCAACTTCCCCATTTAATACTACACCAGGGCCCCATCCAACCTGGCCTTGAACACCTCCAGGGATGGGGCTCTGTGCTCATATGTGCACTGAGGGGGTCTCCAGCACATCCCACCAATGACACCCCAGGGCAGTGCCTTGCATCCCATCCCCTGCATGGCTCTGGGGATTTCTCCTGGCACAGCAGCCATTGGCCCTTTTCCTACCCCTTCCCCTGCTGCCAGGATGTGCTCCAGCCATTACGCAGCCGATGCTGGTGGTGTCCCACTGCCCCGAGGTGACACTTAGGACAAGTGGTGCAGGAATGCTGCAGTTACTGTGAGTTAGGAGGGGGGGCTGGGGGCATAGCAAGCAGTGTGTCCCCGTGCCCTAGAGCACTGTTCCCTGCAGATGGCCTTTGGCATGGGTTGAGTGCCTGCAGCTGAATGCTGACTTGTGAAATGCAGTGAGCTGCCAGGCACTGGGTAGTGATGGGTCCCCGCTGCTGGGAGTGCTGCCCGGGCAGCACAGCTCGCATGCCTGTGGCAGCACGGCCACTATTTATACCAGCAGGCACGAGGTGGGTGGCAGGCACATGTCTGTGCCCTGGTCCTTTCCCAAGGGCCACCCAAGGAAAGCCCTTCCCCAGAGCTGCACAGTCCCTGCAGGGCACTGCCCTGCTCAGTCTTGGCTTGTGTGAGCCCCGAGACCCCATTCTGCAGCTGTGCCTGGAAGGCCCCACCAATTCCCCATCACTTTTCCTCTCCCCTTTCCCAAGCCCTGGGGACCACTCTGAGGTTTGCTCCTGACTCGCCAGGTCCTGAGCACTGGTTTCTCACCCCTACTTCATAGCTCACCAGGCGGGGTGGGTTATGTGAGCTGTGTGCACGCAGCTCCAGGCTTTTCCTGGGGCCAAGCCATGGTATTTGAGAGCTATTACTGCTTTGTTCCCACTTGGCTGTGGGACCAGCTGTACCAGCACAGTTTGGACTGTGTAATTTTGGCCTGGGCCTCCTGCCCGTTCCCCGCCCCTGGCTCCGTGTGCCATCCCAGCCAATGGGGTCAGGGCTGGAATGGGAGCTGTGACCCAAGACACACTAAAAAAAAAAAAAAAGAAAAAGAGGGAAAAGCATAATTTTGGCCAGCTCAGCTCTCTGGTGCATGGCAGCGTGCCACAAATCACATGTGGGGTACTGCAGAGATCCCACAGCAGAACTGTGGGCGATGTTGGGGTGATGGGTGCAGGAGGTGTGGGTGCTGCAGGCAGGATGTGGCCATGCCGTGCCATGCCATGCCATGCCATAGCCCGGGCTCTTCTCTTGCAGTGAAGTACATGAAGGAGATCTCACCTTACTTCAAGAACTCGGCGGCGGGGCCGACAGTCAGCTGGGACCCCTCTCCTGCTGCCCCACAGAAGCACTCATCCCCCGTGCTGCCGCCCCGCGAGAGCCGCACGGTGCCGCTGCGGATGTGCTACGTGTCCCGCAAGTGCCTCCCCGCTGACCCCGAGCACAGGTAGGGCTGCTCCGCGCTGCGGGGACGGGGCAGCCGAGTGGGGGGCAGCGGGGATCCAACGGGGCCGTGTCACTGCAGGTACCTGGAGGTGTGCTCGGCAGATGGGCGCGTGGCTCTGTTCCTACGGGCGAAGGACGAGGCCACGGCACAGTCGTGGCTCGGGGCCATCCAGAGCGCCGCGGGCGCGCTGCTGCCACGGGTGAAGGATGAGCTGCGGGCGCAGCTGGCGGGTGCTGGCACAGTGAGCGGCAGGGATGTCAAGCACGTGGGCTGGCTGACCGAGCAGGTACCCACAGCCCCGTTGTCCCCTGCACATTGTCCCCTCCCGCCCTGACCCCTTCCCCTTGCAGCTGCCCGGTGCTGGCACCAGGAACCTGCTGGCGGTGCTGACCGAGAAGGAGCTGCTGCTGTATGGCAGCCTGCCGCAGAGCCGTGATGCGCTGGGCAAACCGGTGCACAGCTACCCACTGATTGCCACCAGGTAGGGCTGCCAGAGGGATGGGTGGTGGTGGTGTCCTGGGGTAGTGGTGGTGGCTGTGGGTGGTGCTGGTGTCCTAATGGGGTAGCAGGGCCTTAGGATGATGGCAGTGGTGTCCTTGGGGTGGTGGCGGTGTCCCAGACGTGGTGGCAGATGTCTAGGAGTGCTGGCAGTGTCCAAGGGTGGTGTTGGTGTCCAAGAGTGGCAGTGGTACCTTAGGGGCGGTGTTGGTGTCCTGGGGGACTGGCAGTGTCTGGGAGTGGTGGCAGTGCTGTGGGGGGCTGTTGGTGTCCTAGGGATGGTGGTGATGTCCAAGGATGGTGGTGGTGTCCAGGGGCGGTGGTGGTGTCCCACTGTGGTGATGGTGTCCTAAACGTGGTGGCAGTGCCTGGGGGTGGTGGTGGTGTCCAGGGTTGACTGCAGGACCCCAGCACTGGTAGCAGAGTCTAGGGGTGGTGGTAGAACTTGGTGGATGATAGCAGTGCCCTTGGGATTTCCTTCCTAGCACTGATGCCAAAGCTTGGGATGGTGGTGGCAGAGCCTCAGGGGTCACTGGCAGCATTCAGGGGTTATTGGCTGTGCTCTGGGGATGGTGGCAGTGCCAAGGGTGGTGGCAGGGTGTATGGGTTGTGGTAGAGCCCCAAGGGTGGTGGTGGTGTCCCAGAAATGGTGGCGGTGTCCCACGGGTGGTGGCAGTGTCCCAGGGGTGGTGATATTCTGGGGTGCTGGCAGTGTCTGGGACAGACGGCAGCATCCTGGCTGGTGGTAGTGTGCAGGGACGGTGGTGGTGGGCTGTGATATTGGTATCCTGGAGTGGTGGTGGTGTCCCAGAGGTGGCGGTATCCCGAGCTGGAGGCAGTGCTGCAGGGCGGTGTCGGTGTCCCAGGAGCAGTGGTGATGTCCATGCGGGGTGGTGGAACCCTGGGGGGACAGCGGCGTCCTAGAGCGTTGGCAGTGTCTGCGAGTTGTGTGAGGACCCTGGGGATAGCGGCAGCATCCGTGGGGTGGTGGCAGGTTGCTGGGCACGGTGTCGGTGTCCCGCCGTCCCGGCAGAAGTTAGAACGCAGCGGCAGAGCCACCTCCGGCAGCCGCTCTCAGGGCGCGGGGGCGCGCACGGTGCGCGGGCGCGGCGGGTCCCACGGGCGGTGTTGCGGCGCCCCCTGGCGGCCGCGCGGTGCTGAGCGCCGTGCCGCAGGTTGGTGCACTCGGGGCCCGCCAAGGGTTCGGCGCTGCTGGAAGCGGAGCTGGCGTTCGCGCTGCGGGCCGGAACGCGGCTGGGAGTGCAGAGCCACCTCTTCAGCCTGGAAAGCCCCCGAGAGCTGGCGCTCTGGACCCGCTTGCTGGTGGACGGCACCCACGGAGCCGCCGAGCTCGCACAGGAGGTGTCCGCAGGTACGGGGTTGGGGTCCCGGCGGGGCGATGGGTGGAGCGGTGCGCCCGCATCGCTGTGCTGAGCGCGTCCACGTCCGCAGCGTGCACCTGGAAAGGGCAGGAGTGCATCCTGTCCATCCACATCGACAAAGGCTTCACCATCTCCGCCACGGAGCCGGGGCTCAGCAGGACCGTGCTGCTCCAGCAGCCCTTCGAAAAGCTGCAGATGTCCTCGGACGACGGCACCAAGATGCTCTACCTGGACTTCGGAGGCCCCGAGGGAGAGATCGTGAGTGGGCGTCCCCCCGCGGCCCCGGGGAGGCTGGGGGGGTCTTCTGGGGGGTCCTCACCCCGCGCAGCACCTCCGGATCCCTCCCCTCCGCCGGCACAAAGCCGCCTGCTCCGCGACAATTCTCATTGCAAACGTCCCTCTGCTCCTCTCTTGCAGCAATTGGACCTTCACTCCTGCCCCAAAACCATTGTGTTCATCATCCACTCCTTCCTTTCGGCCAAGGTGACCCGGCTGGGGCTGCTGGCGTGAATCCAGAGCGGGGTCCTGGCCCCCACCACATCTATGCACCTCCCTTCAGGCCACCTCCAGCCCGAAGCCCCCTGGTTGGGACGCAGCCCCCTGCAGGGTGATGCCATCCCAGTGCCATCCTTGGGGGTGGCAGTGCCCGATGGCTCCGTGCCTCCATCCCTCCCTGCAGCGCTCGGTCAGAGCAGCCCCGTGGACACCACTCGAGTGCCTTGAGATGATATTTTCTGTACAAAGAACCCATTTGTATGGAAGTTTTATATTTATATCACCCCCGGTGCAGATGCTGATGGGGCAGCACTCATCTACCCGAGTCTCCCAGCACAGGGATGGGGGTCTGCCTGCCCCCAACACAGCACAGCACAGCTCTGGGGGCCGGATGGACAGGAGCTGCAGATCAGCACTATTTGCCAAATCGTTCTGTGTCACAGCGTGCAACAGGAGCTGCTTTTCTTTGGGATGGTTGGGCGCTTTGTTTGACTTTGCCAACTCCGCATCGTTTTATTTCTTGGTTCTGGGGGGAGGGCTGCCAGGTGGCTGCTGGGAAACATGTCACAAACCAAAAGTTTCTGCATGGAAATGCCTCTTCTTGTCTGATTTTGGTCAAATAAACTCGCAGCTCACACCCAGCATTGATTTTAGGGGACTTCCACTGAGACAAGTGGGAGGGGGGGATGTTGGCTCCACGTGGGCTGTTGATGTGGGGCAGGATGCAGGTGAGCAGACCCTGCGTTGTATGGCACAGTGCTGTCCCTTGCAAACTGGATTTCCAAAAGAAGAAAAAGGAAACAAAGCCCCCAACTACATCACTGTCAAATCAGTACCATGGTTCAGAAACAGATGGTGTCTGTGCCAGGAAAAAACTATTGCTGCCATTTCCCTTCCCTTCCTGCCCTGCAACCATTGGGTTCACACCGATAAAAGAGGGAATCGCTCCCAGTCCTGAGCAGATCTCCCACAAACTGCCATCCCACTCCATTGCAGTGCTGCAGAACAAGTGTTCTGTTTGGAGATGGACCTCTACTTCCTTGGATTTTTTGTGTTCAGTGCTGGTGATGGGTTGAGGATTTTTCCCAGCCCCTCCTGGCCCTGTCAGCGCGGTGTGGCTGAGGCTGTGTGCCACCACCAGGACTCGAGAAACAGAGGTAAATGGGGTGGTGGAGTGAGTGCCGGGGAAAAGGATGGCAAATGGAAGCAGAGGAGGCTCCCTGCTTCCTCCTGCTCGTGCTCCTCATTAGTCAGCGCTGACCTTTCAGAGCTGTAATCAAACAAGACAGCCTAACGCTTAAATCGGAGCGTTTAGGGCTGACATTTACAATTGGTTCTCACACTGGAGAGCCCAAATGAAAATTTCCTCGCAGACAGCACGCTGCAGGCAGCAGGGATCAAAGAACTCATTTGCCAAAGCACACACATGCTGGCCCCTATCAGCCAGCAGCCAGGCCTATATCCCATCCCCATCCCCATCCCCATCCCCATGCCATGCCATGCCATCCCCTCCCCTCCCCTCCCCTCCCCTCCCCTTCCCCATCCCATCCCCTCCCCTTCC